TTGACATTCAGCAGCACAAATCACAGTCATGTTATACGTAGTCTTTAACTTATAACTATTTAGTCACCATTCAAAAGTACAACAGCCCTGAAAAAAATGAGTTATATCAGGTGCTCACACTTACAATCATCGTAGCATCCTCAGAGTCATATGATCAAAATTTGGCCCTTGGCAAGTTGCCTGTGTTTATGACTCTTGTAACATCCCAGGGTCATGTGGGATCAGCTTACAACAAGCAAAGTCAATTGGAGAAGCGAGATTTGCTTAATGGCTTCATGATTCACTTAACAACTGCAGTGATTTCACTTAACAATTGTAACATAAGGTAAAGGTTCCCCCACATATGCATACTAGTTGTTTCTGGCTCTAGGGGTGGTACTCATCTCTGTTTCTAAGCCAAAAGCTCCAGCACTGTCTGAAGACGTCTCTGTGGTCATGTGACTGGCAAACTAAATGCCAAAGGCGCAAGGAACGCTGTTACCTTCCCACCAAAGTGGTTCCTATTTTTTTACTTGCCCTTTTACATGCTTTTGAACTGCTAGGTTGGCAGAAGCTGGGACAAGTAACAAGAGCTCACTCCATTATGTGACGCTAGGGATGTGAACCGCTGAACTCCCGACCTTTTGATCGATAAGCTCAGCATCTTAGCCACTGAGCCACCTAACTGTAGCATATAAAGACATAAAATAGGGCATGATTCCATTACTTAACAACTGCTTGCTTAGCAATGAAAATTATGCTTCTAATTTTGGTCATAATTTGAGGACTACCTGTACGATGTCTCTAAAATTCCCAACAGTTCTTAAACAATCCACTCTAAAAATTTACCTCTGGTTATAGAAAAGATTCCCTCTCAGTTTACTATATTTTGAACAGAGGAAGTTATTCAAATGATTGATGGCCATCCGTTCAATTGCTGCTAGTTAAATGTTAATAGATTTTTTCAATCATGTTTATCAGTCAAGCCTTGACCATTATATTACTACAAATTAAATAAACATATAATAATATATAACAAGATAGATAGATATATAAATTAAAACCGTCAAGGAAAAAAATGTGTTTTGGCAGTTTCCTAAATAAATACTTGACATGTTAGTATACCTCACCATTCTGACAACAGTTCCTTAATATTCATATCCAGTTATAATTTACAAATTGATCACTTATCAATTTATGACATGTAAGATGGCATGTCAGATAAATATGTTTTTACCAGCCTATATTAGAGAGCATTCTTGGCTCCCATGCAGAGAAGCTGTCTTGCAGAACGGTGCTAGGATGTGATGTAAATAACACACCTGCACAAGGTGGTGAATAAGCCATGCAGTTTATGACCTTACTGCAGTGGTGGGATTCAAATAATTTAACAACCGGTTCTCTGCCCTAATGATTTCTTCCAGCAACCAGTTCACCAAACTGCTCAGAAAGTTAGCAACCGATTCTCCCGAAGTGGTGCGAACTGGCTGAATCCCACCACTGCTTTGCTGCCATTAGAAAACATCAGGATATCCGAACCAAAAATAGGGGCCTGAACCAGGAGTTTAATGACAGATGCCATCTCTGAAATTTTATCGGATGTGGTTTTTGCAGATAAAGCACATACCAGTGCAAACAAAAATAGGATTTGTTTTAAAAAAAATAATTTACTGGATCATGTTTTATTTTTCAGATCGCCGCATTATGCCTGCCCAGAAGTAATCCGGGTAAGTAAATGTGGGGGTTATGAAATCAATTGTGGACTCAGGTTAATCTTTTCCTAAGGATCTCTGGTGTTTTTAACCATTTTAGATAAATTCCACTCAATCTAGAAACTTATAACTGAGAATGATTTGCTTCAAGGTTGATTTCCCGCACAGTGCTCGCTATCCTCGAGATTTCACAAGGCTAAATCTTAACTTGATGCATCAGAGTTGTGATTTAGAGCTACAAGAAGATTGCTATATGAGTCTTGCTCACTCCATTCTTGAAGGATTTATATGGGGTCCTGTCTGCTTGATAGGTATTCTATCCACCGGCCACTTTCCATTTCCATTTTAAAAACATTCTCTTGATGCTTGCCATACCAGTTACATTTCGCTTCCAACAGATTGAAGAAAGACACTCTATCAAAACCCTTCTAGTCCTCCTCTCCTTTCCTCATCCCCCAGCTGCATGCTACAATGCCCAGTTCATTCTTTCATATGGGAGATATATGCCATACTTCTCTTCTCACTTAGATTTACATTCTTCTTTATGATTTATGTGTATCACACATATGAGGGATGCGCCTGCCCTGAGTGTGTGTGTGTGTGTGTGGTTTTTTTGTTTTTTGTTTTGCAGGAAACTCACTCTCCAGCATGCATGCACTTGGGTGTGTTCTCACCTGTTTCTTCCATTTTTTTCTTGACTGCTGCAGCAGGGCCTGGGTTCTTCTCTTCATCGAATGCTTTAGTGAAAAACACTTCTTGCTTGTTTGTTTCATCTGTATAAGATTTAATCTACTGCACAGAGCTTTCTCAGAAGGAGATTTTATTGTGTGTGAGACATCCCTGTTCCTTTCCCATTTGATTATACTGTAGGGCAGGGGTGTCAAACCCGCGGTGTCACATTGTCATCACATGACTTATCGTGACTTTTTCCCCCTTTACTAAAAGGAGAGTGGGAGTGGTTAGCAGATGATGCATCCGGCCTGTGGGCCACACGTTTGACAGCTCTGCTGTAGGGCATATGGCAAAGAATGTCCCCTTCGGGATACATACTTAGTATGGCTGCAAATTGCCACAGATGAACAGGGCTTCCATTATTCTTTTTGTTTTAAGAGTGGGAGACATTGATGAAGATTATGGTTAATCCCAGATACTTTCCAAGCAAGGCAGAAGAAATTATTCCTATGAAAGACTAATTATGAAAGTCTTATGAAAGAAGATATTTATCATAACTGTGCTGGCATTGACGAATATCGTTCTGGGTTCTAGGACAATAACTTTGAGGTCACATTCCACAACTTACATGTCATCTATGATTGCCTTCCATCCAAACAGCTTGCAACTTGAATTCCCTTCTCTTTACTTCAGAGCTATTGGCACAAAAATTGAAGGATGTTTCTTCTAAGTATTTTTATTGATTTATCAATCAAAGTAGAAAGAAATCCTACAGCTCTTCACTTGCAGAACCTCTTTTTGTATTGAACACTAAGAATGAAAGCATTTGTTTCGCTTCATATGTGAATCTATCAAAACTGGGTTTTTCCTCCCTCAAATAAGCCTTCATTCAAGAATCTTCATTCATGAATGCACCTCTCAATTTAAAGAGTATCTCATGGTTATTTTTTTTGTTGGTGAGCTTCCCAGACCTGACTAAAGGCTTCTAGCTCTGCAGCCCAACTATTTATGATATCAGTTACCACTAATAGAATGGGGGGGGGTGTTGATTCAAAGATCTTTTATATGAAGTACCACATCAGTTATCTAGAATCCATGGTGCTACAAGAATTCGAATCTGCTTCAGAACCAGGCCATCCAGATTTTGCAGACAATACACCGGAGCATATCCTCAAACAGTGTGGAGCCAGGATAAGAGTTTGCTACAGAATTTAAGAATAGCCTAATTAAGTTCAAGGTCAATTTCCCACCCATAGTCAGATGCTCATAAGCAGAAGGTGGAGATTGTTCTCCTACAATTGGAATACAAAGGAGCACTGTCCCTAAATCAAAGCTAATATTATGCTTTGGGCTAGTAAATAACAGACACAGGTAGACATGTTCTTTGGTAGTCTTTTAAAGCTCACCCAATTAAAACTCTCTTTTTAAAAGCTGTCTACCTTTTATCTTGGGAATGAAAAACATGTGGGTGTATGATAATAAGGGCAATCCATATAGCAAAGAGAAATAATAATAGTTCACCAATAGTCACATTGTCTGAATGGGCTGTCCAATTTGAATGGCAACAGCAATCGTAGGATTCCATTCAATTCATCTCTTAGCGTCAATAAGCATAAGCAATGTCACCCTTTTGTAGAGAGAAACGATTTTGTATCTTCCAGCAAATCTGGGATTCTTTCTTTCTTCATTCTTTGGTTTTTTTTAAAAAACAATCTGGTATCACATATATCAAAAAGAACCAGCCAATATCACTTCAGATGTTCACTGGCTATCAGCAACCTCTTCACAGTATTACCAACTAGCCAAAATAATGCTTTCCAAAAGATATGTGCTAATTTGATCAAACCCATAACTTCATTTACAGCCTTCCTAGTGAACATCCTTTTGCTTGATCTTTACAGGGCTATCACATAGTATAAAAATGCTATAGCTTAGATATCCAAAAAGAGCAGAAGTCTTCTTGGACAAATCAGAGGAGTCTACCATTCTGCAGGGACTGGGTTCCTGCCCTTAACCACTGAGGAAATAATCAGCCATTCACTTAGAGGATGCACAGAGACAACAAAAAGAAGATTAAGCTGCATGCTTCGAATTGTAGTTCTTTTAATTGTCATCTGTGCATTCATGCTACAATCCCACCTTCTCCACTACAGGTGCCTCAGTTTTAGGTAGCCTGAATGTCCCCTGGACTGCTGTATCTCCTCTAGGGAAAGTGAGGGAACAGGTAGGAATTTTACCCAAGAGTACACATACTAGAGAATGATCTTCCTGCTGACAAGTCCTCCACTCTATGTAGGCATATCACCCAAATGTGTGAATGTACAAAAAAGAGTTTGAAGAACCACCAATACAGGTAAGCAGTCCATTTTCACCTGGGCTATGTATGCTTGTACATTAAAGGAGAGGGTTAGAAAGGTTTGGTGGGTAAGCATTGTTGGTAGAATTAATTTGGCTAGTGTTATATTTCGGTGTAATATACCCTGTAATTGTTTTATGTAGAGATAAATATTTTGCATTTGAAAACTGTAAAGTATAAGACTCATACTTTGGGGAGAAAATAAATTTTCATACAATGTAGGTTAATCTGATTATAATATTTTTCTAATATTCTTTGATTACCATATTGCACAGGGAGAAAAATATGATGGGAGAAAAGCAGATGTTTGGAGCTGTGGAGTCATTTTGTTTGCATTGTTAGTGGTGAGTTATGATTATCTTTGCCTTTTTTTTCTTTCTATTTTCACATTTCAACTTTGGCTTTACATATGTTACTGTCATGTTCTTTCCTGTTTACTCATGAATAAATTTTACCTATAAGATTCCCATTATCGAAATGCATGACAAATTATTCTCTTGTTTCCCTAAATTGCTGATACTCCTATAATTAGCAGAGGAGTTTTTATTAGAATTCAGACTTTTTTTATGGTGCTAAAATAGGGAGGATACCAAAGAGATTATGATTAAAAGACGATCAATAGATATTAATTCTGTAACTCATACACCATTTATTAATATAATTCAATGATTAATATTTATATCCTATGGTTTCATTTTCTTCTTTAAGTTGTGCATCAATAAGTATCAGTGAGATAGATCTGATTTAAAGTAACCATTATTTCCATGCATCTAAAGTAAATAACAAGTAAATAAAATGTTAATTGATTTATATGTCAAAAACCAAAACAGACATATTGAAGGGGGAAAAACCTTTTTAGACAACCCAAAAATATAGACAAATGCTTATACAGAAGAATATTGAAGTTACCAATATTGATAAAAAATGAATATCTGATAGCAATGCCAGCTGTAATAAATGACTCTAGCCACGCCAGGGCCATCTTAACATCATTATCGTCCCCAGGGAAAGTAGTGTACTGGGGCTCCTGCAACAACTACTCACAGGAATAAAAATGTAAATGGTCGATAAAATTAAGCATATATTTATTTTATTAGCACTTCCAACAAAATCGGTGTTGAAAAACACAATAATACTCAGTAAGCCATACAGTTGCTGTATTTATATGACACAAGGTACATTGAAGGGTTAACATACACAGATTAGTATGGGACCCCTATGCACATGGGGCCCATGGCCCAGTCTCATCAGGCCCATGCATTAAGACAGCCCTGAGCCATGCTTCTGGAGATATTTGGTGAATTGCCAGCTAACAGCAAAATACTAATCTCATCGTCTGAACTAGTACAAGAATGGAATTAGGAAAGGCATGATTAGGTTCACTTGCCATACTATAAGAAAGGGCATTTCAGAAGTGCATGACAGATAGTTATATATACAGTGTGTGTGTGTGTGTGTGTGTGTGTGTGTGTGTGTGTGTGTGTGTGTGTGTGTGTGTGTGTGTTACATTTGTGCTGNAATTCTCCAGAACTGGTCCGAATCTGCTGAATATCACCTCTGATGCTACTTAAATACCAACAACAGCACTTAGACCTACATACAGCTACATAGTGCTTTACAACCCTCTCTAAGCAGTTTACGAAGTCAGCATATTTCTCCCAATCTGGGTCTTTGTTTTACCAACCTCAGAAGGGAGGAAGGTTGAGGTAACCCTTAGTTGGTCAGGATTGAACTGCTGGCAGTCGGCAGAATTATCCAGCAATACTGCATTCTAACCATTGTGCCAGCACAGTTCATTGCTCCAAAATTCTGCCCCATATATCATTCCATTCAGCCCAAGCTAATAATAACAGGACAATTTACCAAAAAAACCACCCAAATAGGTACAACCACTCTGTTGTGGTTGTCCATAGAGCAATTTTAGTTTCATTCTCTTGAAAAAGTATTTTCTTTTTAAAATGGAATGCCTAAAACAGTTCACATGCTAATTTGTTCTGCATAAAGCTAGATGGGACACTGTGGTTTCAGAGGTTGTTATAAACAAAACAAAAATAAAATAATTTTGAAGTCCTTTCTTACAAAGTCGTCGTTAAAATGTAAAAGGAAAAGAATGGGTTTCAGAAGATTTTGGTTGCATAAAAAGTCATGTTGCCGAAGTATAGCAGTAGTTTTCATGAATTACACTATTAAGTGTTGGAAAAGAGAACTGAATAATGAAGGTTTGAATTTATAGAGTAGTGCTTGCATGAGTAGGAAAATTAACATTTTTAAAGAACTCCTGTAGCAGATGGTAGCACTCAGCCAACTTTGATCTTGTAAAAGCTAAGCAGGGTCAGATTGATTAGGACTTGAATATGAGATCAGTAGGAAATCCCAAGGCTGGAGGCTAAACTGGAAAGTCAGAAAGACATCCTGGAAAAGGACAATGAGCAATCAACTTCTCTGCTGTTGTGAAGACAACTATATGGAGATGTCCATATGTTCACCAGAAATTGAATCTGACTTGAGGCAACGTTTACCTTTTTCTGGTTCCAAAAGTAGTGAGTTCTGTCTCACATATCTGACAGGCATAGCTTGCAGTCAGCAATTAATGTTGCAGAAGTGCTAAACAGATTCACTCTGCTTGATTTAATTCCTCTGCACAGTTGGCCTGTAAGTGCCTCAATTCTTGTAGGAAAGCAAATTTTTCCAGGTCAATTAAGCTTCATGCTTAGGAATGTTGGTTCATCACCTAAGCTCCTTGCCGTCCTGAAGTAATCACATGGGGAGCATATCATAAGGTGTGAACCAAATCTAAAATGCATTTTCCCTTATGACAGAATAATTGATTAGTTGTGACTGAGGCTTTTATCTCTAAGACCAGCTAGTATCACTGTGGTTTCTTAAATTCCTTCTCTGTACATGGAGACTGGAAAGGCAGACTTTTGCATAGAAAATAGTCTAAACAGGAGGATGATTAATCCGTCCCCTGCCTACCAATTTTCCACAATAATATACTGTACCAGTTGCTTCCTTAGCCGGTGTTTGGCATGTAATGCTATCCTTAGACTGACGGAATGACACCAAATCATTATATTTCACAATAGCATTTTTGGAGTACCTAGAGTTTCGGAATCAAATTAGCTACTTCCCCCTCAAAGAAGTTTACTTAATTCTCATATCTCTTGACATACCTGAGCTGAGCCCACTCATAAAAATTGCTTCTTGGTCTTGCTGAGTGATCCCATTTTTGAAGACATCACACGTAATGTGCCTAGAAATATAGCAAAAAAGATGAGATGGCTTGAGGAATGAGGAAGGGACCACATTCCTTGAATGCATACTTGTTAAATAATTAGTGATAACAGCTATTATTAGTGCTTGTTGTTGGATTTTCCTCTACTTAGTGACTGTCAGTATAGAAATGAGTTTTCAGTACCTGAAGGCAGGTTAAAAAACAATAGATAGAAACTAATCAAGGAGAGAATCAACCTAGAACTAAGGAGAAGTTTCCTGACAAAACAATTAATCAGTGGAACAACTTGCCTCCAGAAGTTGTGGATGCTCCAAAACTGGAGGTTTTTAAGAAGAGATTGGACAATTATTTGTCTGAAATGGCATAGAGTTTCATGCTTGAGCAGGGGATTGGACTAGAAGACCTCCAAATTCCCTTACAACTCTATTATTCTGAATGGAATAAAAATGTCATTTAGAATTAATTAGCTAAATTAAAGCTGAAGTTCTATAGCTGCTCTGAATTGGCAAAGCTTATGCTACTGTCACAACAGTTGAGTAGAGCTGTTGAGTAGTCAAGTTAACTTACCTTTTTTCTCCGCTCAGTCTTTTATAAAATATTATCCACAGAATGCGTTTTTTTTTTAGTGCTTTGAACTAGTATGTTAAAATAGAAATTATTTTCTTTATTTTGCCTATTGGGTTGCTATTTTAAATGTCAGAAAATCAAATGATTGATTTCACATCCTTAGTTCAATATTAGTGGTTTCAGAGCCCAGCAGGAAAAGTCTCTAGAGCAAAAATCTACAATTCTAGTTTATGGAGCTGAGGCCAAGTCTATGATTTTTTGGGGGTGGATATCAGTGGTGGGTTTCAAAAAATTTTGGAACCTCTTCTGTAGATGTGGCCTGCTT